TATATCTTATACACAGCCCATCATCCCATATCAAACACAGTCTTTTAAAAAATAAATACATAAATAATTTCATGTTTTTAAGTACAATATTATGTTACTCCACAGCCCCCCACCATGGGGGGCTGAGGCTGTGACGAGGGAGGCTGCAGCCCCCGCAGCACCCCCCTTCCCGTGCCACTGCCCGGACCAGACCACCCCCAGAAAAAGCCCCCCCGGGATCAGGGCCCACTCGCCCTGCACAGGCTACCCAACCAGAGCCCCCCCGCAGCCCCTAAATAATTCAACCAGCCACTTCCTCCCCTAGAACCCTTTTAAGCAAGACATAATTTTTAGTCATCTCTGTAGTAGGGGCCGTCCAACGTTTGGCCGTATGCACTGCAAGCTAAGAACCTGCTCGCTATACCCTGATTTTATGCCTTAACAACATGCCTGTAATTTTTAAATGTAGATTTATCAGTATTTATGGACAAATATAGCTGAGTAGCATCAACAGAACAGTGCGAAGCAACTTGGTTGAGCATTGGTATGCCACAAGTGACTGATTTTGAAGAACATTTATTATTTTATAAGAAGTCATATTCATTCATATCTAATTTTGGTCAATTATTAAATTTATGAATCTTAAACTGTCTCTCAAAATAAGTATTCTAATGATCCCCCCTATTTTATATCTCTATGTCAGCATGTAACTCACACAATTCTATCTAACAACAGATACAAAAAGATAAAAGGCTCTTTTCCATAAGTCAGAGAATGAAATAATTTTCTTTCAAAACTGGTTATTTTTCCACAGGGAAGAATTATTTACTTAATTGTGGAGCATCATTGTTACAACAGTGAAACTGATCAGTATATTATAGATTTTTTTCTCTTCTCTGATCTCTCTTGCAGTTCGGTCGGACTGAAGTGATTGAAAACACGCTGAATCCAGACTTTGTGAGGAAGTTTGTTCTGGACTACTTCTTTGAGGAGAAACAAAACCTTCGTTTTGACGTGTAAGAGGAAATATGATTCCCTCTTTTCAGGGTTACACTGCAGGTTTTCCCCACTTGAACGTCACTCAGTGAACAAGAAACAATTTTTTGTTTTTCTCTTTTATTTTGGTTTTTAAGGCCGCAATAAGTAAAAAAACCTTTCAAATAAAAAAAGTATTAGAAAGCAATTTAGAATTAAGAAACCAAAACCCAATAATTCAAAGTTAACTGTGACCAACCATAAATATCCTTTTAATACCTAGAAATCATCCTCTAGAGGAAGTATACAATTCAACATTTAAACACCCAAAATCTGTAGTCCTGCATTGTCTTTTCCTCTGTAATACTCTGACACATTGACTGTTGCTGCCCGGTGAGTGAATACTTCCAAACTAATTATCAGATCATCATAATGGCTTAGTTTGAATCAGCCGTTTACATCATCCAGAATTGTAGAATATTTATATATTTGTATATTTATGTAGAGCATTAAGCTTCTCTCCTTAACAGTTTTTTCTGCAGTACTTTTGCTTTTATATTTTACATAGTTTTAAAAATTGTACTTTTACACTTTTAATAGTGGAGTGCAGTGGGTAGCGCTGCTGCCCCATAGCATGAAGGTTCTGGGTTCGATTCGCGGTTCGATTCACACACACACACACACACACACCTAAGGAGGATTTAGAGAAGCCAATTAACTTAACAGTCATGTTTTTGGACAGATCAGTGAACAAAATACTAAACCATGGTTCTGAAATGTACCTGATATTTATTGGGAATCAAAGCTTGATTTTGCTGCAAATACTTTAAGATCTCATGTGCAAAAAGAGCTTAGAGCTGAGGTCTTGTTGTTGAGCAGGCTTTGAATCTTTAAACAGGAGCCAAGCTTCTTCGTAAAGATCAAATATGCATCTCGAAGGAGTGAAGAGCACTTCAAAAAATTGAACTCTAAATATGTCATTTTTTCTTAAAATAAGTGCACTTTATTCTTGAAATTGCAGATGGAACAAGCCAATCCAGATTTAAAATTTAAAAAAATTTAAAATAAAAAAGAATTGAATTACCTTATTTCAAGTGCATGTTATCTAATTTTATTTTAAGAGAAAAAAAACCCTCACTCAATCAGCAAATCATCTTATTGACCTGCTTAAATTAGGGAAAATGCACTTAATTTNTTAAAAAAAACAGAAAACAGAGATAAAAGATTCTGTCAAAAAAAAAAAAAAAAATCATTTTTAAAGGTTCCCCTGGTGGCTTATTTAGAGGAGGAACAGAAAGACCCCGGTCATCACACTGAATTTCCAGGAGTATTTTTCTCTCTGCTGGGTTTGATTCAAAAGTTTTTAAAAGGGAGACTTCCGGTGACGATGCGGCGAGGAGAGGACGCATGCTGAAGAGCTAGAGCTGACTTCGGCCATCCCACGTTTTTACTTTCCATCAGAAGGCTTAACCTGTGTGAGATCAGCATAAACTAGGCTGCACAGATGAATAGAGGGAAAAATTTGAGGCTAAAGAGCACAACGGGCACTAAAATTGACCAAATGATGCTGTCGAGCTAACGAGGCTAACTGTTGGGTTCATAAATGTAGGTTTGCAAAAGAAGAACTGAAATACACAGTAATGGATACAATTTCTGCCGAAGGAGAGACAGTTGAACCCCAGACTCAAACACACTGTCTCCCACTGGACCTCCTCCGCAGAGCGTTTTATTAACAGAACATGACACATGATTACACACAGAGTATTGTTCTGACAGAACAATTGATCAGTTCATGAAGACAGGGTGCTGCACTACAATGACAAGGCAGGATGGTCTCCTGACTGAATCACAAGATGTTTCATAAGCACACAATAATTTTATAATCATCATTGAATAAACCTAACATTCCCTCCTGTTGTGCATATAAACATTAGCATGTAGCACTTTTAAAAAGATTTTTACTACACACATCATAAATGCATTGCAGATAGGAAATTCAATAATCAAAGATCAATATGCAAAAAACAAAAATATGAAAATAAGTAAAATGTAAAACTTAAGCGAAAATGTAAGATTTATCAAGAATGTAAAAAGCTTCAAAAATCTGTCCCTTGAGTAGGCAAAACCTCTCCAATAGAGAAAAATTCCTACCCGATCCTCCCAGAGGAAGCGATCATTATCCCTGTAACAGATTACACAGTTGTCACACCATCAGTATCTTCACCAGCATCTTGGCAGAGTTGAACATAAGTTACAGCTGAATACTGGATTAGAGTGGATCCTATCATTCTCTGAATCATTGACTGGAGACATGGTATTACGCAAAAAATAAAAAGGAAAAATATAAGAACAATCCTACAAATGGTAAAGCTATCTTCATCAGCACCTGCCACCATGATCCCATGGTGAAACAACTTGTCCATGGTGCTGGAGTTGCACCGGAGGTGTTATGGTCAACATACCTCTTTAAATCTTCAACTCATCCAGAGCGTCTGTATGAGTACAAACATAACAGTCTGTTTTGTTCAAACCTTCAGCAACGCGCTTGGAATGCTGCCACCACATCTTGGCACTGTAGGGATGACTTGCGGTGGATCCGTCAAAAACCATTCTGGTTTTCCTTTGTTTCTGGCGGTCAATTTGAGTCCTTAAGAGCACCAGTCCAATGGTCACCATCAAGCAGCAGAGCCACTGTAGTTTTCCCATCTTGACCAGTCCCTCCAAGGAAGCACCCACTAACCAGGATGCTAAGGGACTGGATCAGGTTGGTTTCTTCACCAGCGTTGAGACGTAAAGCTCTAAATTGCTTGCCGTCAACTGTTTGGATGAACGGTTTTTGATAATTTTGCAGAGCTAAGAGAGTTGCTAAGAAAAGTTCTACTTTTAGCTTTGTGAATTGCTGTTCTACTTCTGGGATCCATTAAATTGTCTCTGACATAGCTACTAGTGTGTCATAAAAAAAAAACTTAAGAAAAGCTGAGTTTTTTTTACATAATGTGGAATCTAAGCCTTGCAGTAATTGCACAATTCTAAAAAGACATTCTTGTAGCTTTTTACCTTCTTCTGAAATAACATGGCCCAAGCAACAGACTTGTTTCTGCACCCGCTAAAATTTTTATAACTGGTTTTATACTTTCCTTTGCTTCACATTTGAGCAGATATTGTTTTATCCTTGGCCTGATTTAGGAACTATTTTAACTGGATCTACAGTTGTCAACAGTCCTATATCTATTTTTTCTGTAGACCACAAAGCATTTGGAATATCTTTGAAATCATTTTCATCAGATTGTGATAGCAAACAATGCTGAGTTATTTTAACACATGCTAAATCTTGAACCTGGGGTTTTACATCAAACAGAATTTTATAAGGCTGTTTCCATAGTTGGAACAGATAGACATAGAGCAGAAATGCTAAGCATGTTGCATAAAACACAGAAGGATTAAGTTGCAACACCATTACATGGTCTAATCTGAGGTAATGTATCTTTCAGAACAGATTTATCGGCTCTGGTGTCCCACAGAAATTTCACTTTTACCCCTTGTATGTTTAAATGCCAGTATGGTTTTTCTGAGGTGTTTAATAAAGAAAAGAAAAGTTGCTGTAGATCCAGGACCTCCACTGAGTCCACAATTAACTGCTCCTCTAATTTTTTTTTATTCTCTGAATGTAGCTTGCATGATTAAAATAATTTTCTGGTGGGTTATTTATTTTAAATTTTTTGGTTCCAAACCTAATAGTTTTGGAGACCCTGCAGGCGCATTAGGAAGGCTGTCAGTTGGATCAATGCTGCAGTCATCGCTCCAGTGACATCCCCCCCCGCGCTTGTGCAGATTTAAGCTGTCTCCCTCTAAACTGTGTTTCATTATCTTTTGGACGCACAAACATCGTATCTACTCATCGTATCTAACATCGTATCTACTTTTATTTTATTCTTTAGTTCTTATTATTTTATTATTTTGGAATAGAGGCGTCCCTCAAACCCATTTTTTTTAAAACCATATATTCAAGTGTTTATTTTTTGTTGATTCCTGCGCTTCTACAAACTTCTAATCGTAGATTTTAAATTATCTCTACATTTATTTTGACCTTTACCTATTTTAAAGAATTTAGTCCAGTACATACACCTAGGGTATTCTACGCACTGGATGTTTATTCAGCAGGACAGCACCCAAAAACTGTTGTGGTAATTTCTGCTTCTACCTTTTCAGGTGAGAAATTATTGCCTCTGCAACCACAAGAGCTGTACTGTATTAAACCCCTGCTGTTTTAGCATGAAACAACAGAACCCAATGGTTCGATTGTTTCCTCACACACTCTCACACAGTCACTCCTATTTTAAGGCCTATTATGTATTTTTTTATTTTGACCAATATTGACATAAAACACCTATCGTTACGTGTACACTTTGGAGTCTCAAACTCCAGGCCCTCGCACGCACCGGATACCCAGATGCCACTTCTGTCAACAAAACTTGGTTTCGTCAAATATCCCTGCTGCGGCAGCTGCAAACCTTACTATCTCGAGAACAACACAGAGTCCCAAACTCTAACGCACAGAATACCCAGATGCCAAATCTGTCAACAAGATTTGGTCTGGTCAAATATTGTTGCGATTACAGCTGTAACTTAAATGGTCCCAGACCAACTTTTGATCAAAAGATTTTTGCCTACCCTTTCCTGTGTAGAGCAGTCCAGCGGGAGTCGTCACCAAGATGCCCAGGGCAGGGCTGGACCAAACTGGCCCCGTCCAGCGAAGGGAGGATGACTGTTGACAGGTTCTTGGCCTTGGTCCCACATGGTCCTGGACAATTGGATCTTGGCTCCCGGGTTTCGGCACCAAAATGTTAGGTTAAAAAATTTAGTAACCGAGTCCACACAGAAGAGGGATTTTTTAATGGCTACTGCAGAAGGAGAGAGCTACATTCAGCTACATCTACTCTCTGATGGACTTCCTCTGCAAAAGCCTTTTTATTAGCAGATCATAACAGTTGGGGTGGGTTACAAAATAGAGTGTTCTTCTGACAAGGCAATTGATCAGGTCATAGGACAAAATGCTCCTCTGATTGAATCACAGAATAGAGTGGTCTCCTGATAACTGTGATTAGCCTTGCACAAACATCAGCAATTTTCTACCGCCGTTGCATGACCGTTTGCAGTAAACAGAGTGAAGCATCTCATTTCTCCAATGTTACATATGTACACAATAACTTTATAATCATCATTGAATAAACTTAACACACCCCTACATATTCGGAATGGTACGCAGCACTTTTCGAGACCACCTCTTACGAACGACTCATACACAAAATAAACGGCCAGATTGAGGCGTATGAAAGTACATGGGAACCGTTTTTAAAACCAGAGAGGAAAGACTCAAACACTATTGATCCAGAAAATAGATGCAGTGTGTGAGAATTTTTTTCTTTTTTTTCTTCTCTTTAGTCTCATCTGCTGGCGGAGGTGGGGGGAGTACGGCAGGGCTGGGAGGGGTTCATGGTTAAATGTTAAAAACCCAAGTCCTTCTCTGTACAATCACTCAATGTTGTACACTTTACAGTACTGACACTGTCATCACTGGTTTTACTGTATGTTTAAATGTTGAAGGATGTAACAAACATTAAAATAATAAAAAAAAAGTTTTTAAAACATTTATTTAAAAAAATATCTATTTTAGTTATTTGAAGTTTCTTGTTTTCTATGTTACATTGTAAAAGCACTAAAGAATCTTGTTTGGTTGAACTGTAGGTACAATGTGGACATGAGGAGCTGCAACCTGTCCAAACATGTAAGTAGTTTTAAAATGTTAAAAACTGACATGGGTCAGTAGTAGAGGCTGGTTCTCTTCTATTTCCTGCTTTTCTTTCTTCTCTGTCTTCCAAGCCTAATGGGAGGACAGCTGTTAGAATAAACGTATTAAACTATGGCTTCTGTATAAAAAGCCTAAAAAAACAAGAGCCAGGAAACAGTAATAAAGTCCCATGGAAGCAAAGGCTCTTCTGTTACTTCAAGGTTTATGTCCCGTTTGTTTATTTATTTATAAAGCTCAGTTTAAACATTTTTAAAACTAGATAATAACAAAAAAAAAAAAAAAAATGAGGGTTTATTGTGATGCATGACAACCACTTAGACATGAACAGCTAAGGCTGGTAAAATGTTTTAGTGCTAATTTCTCGTCCAAGAGGTGTTTTTATAAAGTATCCCTGTTTCTGAACTAAGGATAAATAAAGATGTTTGCTTTTGCTTCCTGTGTAACTTCTGTTCAATCTTCTCTCACTGCCTCCTGACCTGCTGAGCAGAAGGTAAGCAGATTAAATATAGTCTAAGTTTGATTTCAGAAATTAGCATGAACTTTAGCTCTAAAGTTCTTTTATGGAACTTTAGAGCTAAAGTGGATTGTTATTGTCTCAAACCAGTTTTTTTAATAGTATAAATATTTCTATAAATGCATAAATGTTTTTGCAGAAACAACTGTTTCCTTTACTGTTGTTCTGGACATTTAAAAACCCGTGAAAATCAAGTTCAGATTTAAATCAAAGTTGAAAAATTACATAACTGAAAGTGAAATTTTGATAGCTTAATTTAAACATCAATGGAAAAGACTAACCCTTTGCTGACTTGGCTTTCATTTGGTAGACAGACTTGTAAACATTCCTGAATCTGAATGGAGTTACATTTGTTTTAGGAAGACTTGAGAGAATACTGTACAATCTTTAACTTCTAAAACATCTGAATTAAGTTCCTAACACTGGACTGGAAAGAAAATTGTCAAACTTTGGCAATAAGATGATCAGATAATATTTTTGGTAACATCCTTAATTTGGTATATAAAAGTCCTGACTTAATCATCAAACCCAGCTATTTGACGTGACCTGAAAAGTTTATTGCCAGTGTTTAAAGGTGGGCTCTGACGTTCTCTCTCTGAATGTCTGTGTCAGTCACTAAAACCGTGTTGTTGCATGACTTAGTATGAGGAAATGTATCTGCCATCCATGATTCAATTAAATTCAGTTTATTTATATAGTGCAGAGACAATTCAATCACATCATCCAGACAGATTGATTCAAAGTTTTCTATCTAAGGAAAACCAGCTGATTGCATCGACTCATTGACTCTTCCGCAATCCCTCACAC